CAAAAAAGTCGCCGGACTGCGGCGGACTCCGCCGGTGTGCGGCAAAGTGCGCCATACTCCACTAGAGTCCGCCGGAGTGCGGCAGAGTGCGCCACACTTCCCTAGAATCCGTCGGAATCCGCGTCGCATCGCCATATCTTGCTTCAGAATGGACGAATTCTGAAAATCCGAGGAAAGCATTCGATTCAGCTCGGCGAGACGCATCATCTAGTGTATAGGAGTGCCACAATCTAGCAGGATATGATAGGTATATGCTAGACAGTAAGTTTCCGCTCAGTTTTGCAGTTTTTGTTTGGTTGGATTGTTCAGTCGGCTGACAACAGTATTGTCATTGAATTGTCGCTGATGACACATAGAAAGTAAACCGGAGGAGTATGGTAGAAAGTCACACTGATCGAATTTGTTCTAAAATCTGCTCAAGATCACAATACCGCTAACAGAATGTGCAAAATCCCCGTAAACTTTGCGGAATTCCGGGATTTAAGCTCAAGTCCGCAACATTCTGGGAATCCCACGACACTCCAGGAATCCGCGAAATAACGGATTTCACGCAAAATACGCAGTCCGCAACATTCTGGGAATCCCACGACACTCCAGGAATCCGCGAAATAACGGATTTCACGCAAAATACGCAGCACCATAACACGGAATGAATATATTCTAAAATTAGAAAACAGCATTGTGTTCAGATTGTCAAGGCGAATCTTTTGATGTACTGCATGCCCTCGATATTCCGTTTCCAGTGTTCTCGAATTTTTTTGTGGAGATCCCTTCGCAAGAATATAACGCAGCGTCTGTGTATTATAAAAGATTTCAGTAAGCAATATTCGATAGTATTGCTCTTGTAGGTTATCGTGCGCTAGTAGTAGCCACAGACTTCTTTCCAGAAAAGGTAAAGAATTCTGAAAAAATCACGCGCTTTTAGATTCTACTCGCCATAACTTCCTTCGGAATAAGGTCATCAAGGCGAATCTTTTCATGTACAGCATGTCCTTGATATCTCGATTTCAATATTCTTGAATCTCTCTGCGGACGTCTTTCGCGAAGGTGTAAAGCAGCGAGCATTGTCCCGAGTAAATTCTGGCAAGAATCCTTCGATAGTACTTGCCCTGTAGATTACGATGCACCAAACAGTAACCGCAGATTTCTTTTTAAAGGAAATAGAAGGGCTGGTGAATTGTGGAAAAAATCTTGTCGTCCCAAATTGTACTCGCCATAGCCCTAGATTACGAAGCTCTTTTGCTAAGCAGATATGATTATCGTAATCAGCAGGTCGGATAACCTCTATGAGCAAGTTTTCCGATATGTTCGGGTTATTTCATTTTTTCTCGTCTTAAGCTCTGGAAGCTGGCCGGTGCATTTTGGTCAAAATGTTGATGATCGTGAATTGTAAAGAAACTCCGCTCATAGAGGTTTTCGAACACGCTGTTTATGAAAATCGTGGTTTCTGTCAGATATGGGGTTTTTTGCAGGGATATGGTGAGATAACTGCAACGGATTCACAAAAGCTCGTAACTTCGCCTCCACCTCTCACGTATCTGTCAGAAAAACTGTCTGTTTGCTTTTCCAGTCAAAGTTACTATGAGATGTGCTATCGAATGGCGCATGACTCAGGCTCCAGTCTGTGAAATTCGCCGAGTTACGAGCCCACGAAAACACATCCTCATAATTTTGCCCAAAATATAAAGATCGCATATTTTGTCGAAATTCCTCCTTGAGCGCTTGTACAACACGCTGGCCAAACCTTTCACATCCTTAATGGATGTTATTGTGATAGATTTGGTAGTTTGAGCTTTAGCCACGAAAAAGCTTCGGTATTTAGTTGAAGTGAAGCAACGCAAGCACCATATTCAATATAGTGGGAATCGTTGGACAAAGCGAACATAATATCTGCAACGAGCGTCATACAAGCGCTCACGGAGGAATTTGAAATTTGCGATCTTTACATTAGCCTCGTATTCTAGGGTTGCGACGAGTAGAATTTGGGACAACAAGATTTTTTTACGATTTACCAGCCTTTCTACCTCCATTGGAAAGATGCCTGGACTACTTTTTAGCGCTACGTAATGTACTAAAAAAGTACTATCGAAAGGTCCTTGCTGGAGTCTACTAGGGGCAATGCGCGCTGCTTTACACCTTCGCGAAAAGACGTCTACGGAAAGATTTGAGTTTACTGAAAGCGGAGTATCAAGGAAATGCTGTATATCGAAAGACTTGCCTTGATGAACTGAGCACAAAGCTCTCTTCTGATTCAGAATATGTTCATTCCGAAGGAAGTTACGGCGAGTAGAATTTAAAAAAGCGTGATTTTTCCAGAATTCACCAACGCTTCTATCTCTTTTGGAAAACAGTCTGCAGCTACTCTTGAACGCGCGATAGCCTACAAGGACAGTACTATCGAACAGTGCTTACTGGAATCTTTTATGTTACACAGACGCCGCGTTACATCCTTGCGAATGAACCTCCACAGAAAAAATTTGAAAAAACTGGAAACGGAATATCGAGAGCATATTGTATATCAAAATATTTGCCTCGACGATCTGGACACAATGCTGCTTCTGGATTCGGAATATATTCATTCCGAAGGAAGTTATGGCCTTGCGTATTCTGCGTGATTCGCATAGTTTCGCGGATCCTGAAATGTCGCGAACTTCCCGGATTATCGCGCACTCTGGCGGTTTTCCCGGAATTCCGCAAAGTTCACGGAATTTGACATTCTGTGAGCGGTATTGTGATCTTGAGCAGATCTTAGAACAAATTCGATCAGAGTGGCTCTCTACCATATTCTTATAGTATACTGTCTATGTGTCATCAGCGACAGATCAGTGGTAATACTGTTATCAGCACATTGAATGCAACCAAAATTATCTTATATATAAAGCTGAATGTCTGTTTGTTTGTCTGTCTGTCTGTCTGTACGTATGTTCCGAATAGAAAATTCCATTTCTGAACCGATCCGGATCAAACTTGGCACACATACACTTCGAGCCCCGGCAGGAGCCATAGGCTACTTTTCGTTATTGATTGATATCGATTATATCGATTTTTATCGATGTTTTGCAAAGATTGAGCTACAGGACTGGGAGTTGGCACAGGGAAGTAATCGAGCATGGGGATTCCGAACACAATATTAGTTTTCAGGATTATCGATTACTTTTATCGATTTTATCGTTTTTTTGCAAAGTTTGAGCTACGGGGCTTGGAGTTGGCATAGGGGGTAATCGAGCATGCTGATTACTAAAACAGCGGGAATAGTGAATTGGCATGTAGGCGTGGGCAGAGGGAAAGGTTGTACAGGGATACGGATGACAGCTTTATCATAGTGTTTTGACAGGGATGAGCGTAGCCGTGCAAGCCAGCTAATAATCGATAATTCTGAAAACTAATATTGTATTCGGAGTCACCAAGCTCACTTACCTACCCCCTGTGCCAACTCCCGGCCCCATAGGTAACTCTGCAAAAAAATCGATAAAAATCGATGAAATCAATATCGATCGATGACGAAAAGTAGCCTAGCACCCGCCGGGCCCCGAAGTCTATGTGTGCCAAGTTTGGTCCGGGTCGGTTCAGAAATAGAATTTTCTATTCGGAACATACGTACAGACAAGCAGACAAACAGACTTCAGCTTCATATGTAAGATGACGCATCTCGCCGAGCTGAATCGAACGATGTCCTCGGATTCAGAATTCGTCCATTCTGAAGCAAGATATGGCGATGCGACGCGGACTCCGACGGATTCTAGGGGAGTGTGGCGCACTCTGCCGCACTCCTGCGGAGTCCGCCGCAGTCCGGCTACTTTTTTGCTACAGCTAGTCCCATACGTTATGAGGTTATGGCCCGAGACGTTGGCTGCAATTTTCCTACAAATCTCCTGACACACACACACACACACACACACACACACACACACACACACACACACACACACACACACACACACACACAACACTCACACACACACACACACACACACACACACACACACACACACACACACACACACACACAGATAATTGCCGGGAGTAGGCGGTCCGTTTTTCTGCAGGCAGTCAACAAAAATTTGAGGCTTGGCCAAACCTTCAGCGAGCGGAAGTTCCGTGTTCTGCCATCACGCAGCAATACGAAATTTTCTACAAGCGCTCGTCAAATAATCTTCTTCAGCGAGCGCGAGCCAAACTTTCGGTAGGCGCTCGGACTCTTTCTACATAATTTCGGGCCTACGCCGAGTAAAGGTAAGACTCTAAACAACAGAGGGTGCCATCGATGGTTTAATCACCCGAGTTTGGGGTACTTTCACAGCGGAAAGTATCCTATGGGCTTGTGCGGTCCTTATTAATTTTGCATATCCTCGCGGAAAGTCCGCAAGAATGCGGCCGTTGCACCGCAACTAATCTATAGGAAAACCGCGATACTTCTCCGAGCATTCCAAAAACTGGCCAAGCGGACCACGGAAATCAGCGAACTATTTTTCCGATGCCCGCCCGCCATAAATCGCATGGCCGCCTGACCTGACGATTATCTGAGTAAGGTGTTCCAACGTGCATGTCTTCTTCTATCAGTTCAAGCTTGTGCATAAGTTCGTAAAGACAAAAAGCTGTTACGTATTCAATGTTTCAACAGAGTTGCTCATCTTTAATAGTTGTAAAAAAATAAACATTCAATATCGGAACTTCTGAATGACTGACCAATGTGCTTCATTTATGATTCTCGAAAGCTCATCTTTATCATAGCTCGGCTTTACTTTCAATGAAAGACGTTAAACAGTTATGCACTGTACATTTGCTCCACACCTAGCTGGACTAACTTCTTTTTCTCGAACTTTGACACTATCGGAAAAGATTTTCTCTTGACAACAAGAATAAATCCAATAACAGAGAAGTGCTTTGCAGAGGGTTGTGAAGAAGCGACTATAGTTGTAAAGCTTGTTTCACAACAGCCGGCTGTGTTTTTCGAATTCCATTTTAACCTCGCATTCTTCTTCTCAACTTTTTCATTTCAGAATTATTTGAGGAGCAAGTTGATACCGGATTTTTTACCATACGGTGACTATGCTATTTGATGTAACCGAATTCTTAATCTCATCGACCTAGGGGATTCGTTCACTTCTGATTTCACCCTTATTGATAAAGCTGCAGTAAAACGCTGGACTACCAAAGAAGTAACAACAGACAGTGAACACCCGCGCAGTTATTGCTATCCAGATAATCCCTCCGTAGCTAAGCACATCTTCAGAAGTATGGAAGGTCCGCACAAACATATGTTCTGTATGCGTTGCATTGTGACTACATTAAACGATTTTAGAGGCAGACGCCCCTTCACTAACATTCGACTTCAAGCCCGATCAGGCAACAGCAGCGTTGCAATACATGATAAACGATTTATATCGTCGAGTATCTGTCCTAGATCGGTAAGTAGCAACTACTTCCCACTGTCTTTCTCTGCATCGAATACGAGGCTATTGCATTGTTCCACTACAGATATTATGCTGAATTCATTCCACCATGTTACTTGAAAGCGCTCTTGACATGCTCCTAGAAGCCGTAGTGCTAGAAAGAAACTAAATCAGCTCAACAAGATGGAAAGTGACGCTTTGAGTTTCTTTTACGACATTACGACCGTTAAGACGAAACCATCTTTTGCCCATCATATCATTAACATCTTTGAACATGTAGTCCTGCTACCATGCATTAGATGCGTCTTCTAGTTCGTTGTCCAACTTTTATATGTTTGATATAGGTCGTTTCATTATGGGAAATATGTTCAATTACCATAGTTTTCGGTAAAGTCGCAAGGATGGGCAGAGTGGAAGCTGTTGAAGGATTGTTCTAGTAGTTTTCATCCAACAGAGGCCACTGCTCATGGTGCTCTCCTATAATTACGAACCAGTTGGCCATTTTGTTTCATTCAGGCATTTGTAAATCGAGCAGTAGTGAGAGGCAAAACCAAAGTTGAATAATTTTGCATCATCTATTAATTATTTAGGCTCATTCGGAATCTCGAATAATCTCAAAAATAGGGGAAGTTTGACATGATAGAATGTTGCCTTCAACAATTACTTCCGTAATCTCCGCATGAATTGCATCAAAGATATTGCTGCTAGAAAAAGCTAGAAATTTTGCGTCGGATACAGGTTGAAATATTGTTTACCTCTACTTGACAAAATTTGCGGGTAGGTTCAAACAACTAACAAAACTTTTGCACCAACCTAGGGTTAAGCCGGAGGGTCGTATTGAAGAGTCAGGGGCATAGATGCGATAAGTGAAGAAATTTCTCTGACTTCCTTCACTTTAGGGCAGGCATCTGGCTGGCCCCTTTCACCTGAGGTTGAGAGTAGAATAAAGGCATAACTGCAGAATTGAAAGGTAAACGGCACTTTTTTGTTTGGAGAAGAAACATTAGTTGTCTTCTCCTCAGACGTCAAGTCTGCAAGAGAGTATTGAAACAACAGCGTTTTGTTGAAAAAAAGAAACGCATGCTTGAGACCTCTGCGCACTCAAAGTAGCGTTGATAACGATACATAATCAAAAGTTAGAAGGATATCTGAATCTTTGAATAATTAACATTGTATCAATGACACATTGTCGCAAGAAAGAGTTGAGCAAGAGCAGAAAATCTGGACTAGCTAGTGATGATGCATGTTTGCTGACAAGAATCGTATCTCCTTTCACTAGAGAGAATAATCTTATATATAAAGCTGAATGTCTGTTTGTCTGTCTGTCTGTCTGTATGTCTGTATGTCTGTCTGTGTGTACGTATGTTCCGAATAGAAAATTCCATTTTTAAACCGATCGGGACCAAACTTGGCACACATACACTTCGGGCCCCGGCGGGTGTCATAGGCTACTTTTCGTATCGATCGATATCGATTTTATCGATTTTTTGCAAAATTTGAGCTACGGGGCTGGGAGTTCGCACAGGGGGGTAATCGAGCATGGGGATTCCGAATACAATATTGGTTTTCAGGATTATCGATTACTTTTATCGATTTTATCGATTTTTTTTGCAAAGTTTGAGCTACGGGGCTGGGAGTTCGCACAGGGGGGTAATCGAGCATGCAGATTACGAATACAATATTAGTTTTCAAGATCGTCCATTACTTTTATCGATTTTATCGATTTTTTGAAAATTTGAGCTAGGGGGCTGAGAGTTGGCACAGGGGGGTAATCGAGCATGCTGATCACCCCCAAGGGGGGTGATCAGCATGCTAATGGACGATCTTGAAAACTAATATTGTGTTCATAATCAGCATGCTCGATTACCCCCCTGTGCAAAATCCCAGCCTCGCATGTCAAAATTTACAAAAAAACGATAAAATCAATAAAAGTAATCGATAATTCTGAAAACTAATATTGTATTCGGAATCCCCATGCTCATTTCCCCCCCTGTGCCAACTCCTAGCCCTGTAGGTGAACTCTGCAAAAAAATTGATAAAAATCGGTAAAATCGACATCGATCGATAACGAAAAGTGGACTGTGACACCCGCCGGGGCCCGAAGTGTATGTGTGCCAAGTTTGGTCCGGATACGGCGGAGCCGGGTAAGCCAACTAGTAACAAATAAAAGAGCAATTAGATTACTCGTTTCTCAAGCCTTCGAATTGTATGTAGAAGTTCAAAAAAACCCTCTTGTTCTAAAAGAGTACCCAGAATTGGCTGATCTTGTAGCTAGATAAAAGTGCTCGTATCTCGCTTCACAAAGCTAGGAAAAAAGAGACTGCTTATGTCGATTCCTCTTGTTTTCATTTATCAAATGGTGTACAAAGTGTTGGTGCACAAAGCTTTCATACTTTAATAAAGTCTCGCTCCGCGACCCATAGGAAGCAAGAGCGGGGTGGAGCAAGTTAATACTAAATACCCTCACCTCATTTCTAAAAAGCCACGAGTTTTTTCACCCCACAACCTATATACCCTTAAAAGGCTCACGAAACAGATCGGCGTAAAATGTCTGTTTTTCTCTAGCTCCCCTCTACTCACAGATACATGGCTTTAGCTAAAAACATGTGCGTTTTTGTGAGAAAATTTTTACGCAAAGTGTGAATGAAGATGCCCAGCTGTCTTACCCTATTACAGAGCAAGACTTCGCCTGTAAAAGTAAACCGTTTCTTTTTTTCTAGCTTTCCTCTTTCTTTCAGGAATGGAGCTCAAACTAATTGCATAAAATCAGCTGATGCTGGAGCTAGATATGATTTCTTTATATCTGAATTCATAGAAAAGCTGAAAAAGAGACGGTTTATGTCCTTTCCGTATGTTCCAAGCTTTCGAACGGTACATAGTCGACTGATGAAACATAAAGCTTTTCTTGGTCAAAAGTCTCTGTTGGATGACCTTCCAAAGCAAGCATTAAGGAAATCTTTATCTTACACCTCTGTACCCTTATTTTCCCTCTTTTCGCTCACGTTCCCTTTAGACATGTAGCTTGCGTCAGCATTTATCTCAGGCTCAGTAACCCCCTTCACTTTTCTGGGTCAAAAGTAGCCTAAACCTCCTCACCTTGAGAGGACCTCGCTCTCCTTATCGCACTTATGGTCAGGAATGGAGGGGGGGGGGGAGGTCGTTATTAGAGGCGATGCTGTTGTCAACGATATATGCGGGATACTATTTTGCACATTGGTGTTTTAGCCTAACATCGTGTACGACAATAAGATAATGGAAGAGCCTTAAAACCATAAGAGCATCATTTTCCTAATTAGCTTGTCAAACCCCTGTGGGCCAAGTTTAAGTGATTTCAGAAGTTTGCAGATATTGGGCCGCCAAGTGAGAATTTTATTTCGAACATGTTAACCTTGTAAAAGTGATTTAACTACCTCTTTTTCCATTTCACACAAGGAACTATTACTTCTTTGCTCACAGTAGGTATTCTACTTTAAAGGCACCGTCCACCCAAAATGGAGGTTGGCGAGATTATGATGGCATACTAGTGTGGGCCCCCACACTGGCCTTTGAGTAACCTCAAACTATGGAATTGAGGAATGAAATCAAGCTAAATCTCGTTTATCTCATTTGTCGCTTTCACTGTTTCAGACTATAGAAGACCAATCAGGCTCAATGACTTTTACGAAAATTACGAGACTTGAACTATCAAATGTATTTATTCTCGCCGCCTTTCCTCGCGATTCACACAGTAGCGGACTTAGCAGGTTAACATAACCCAATATTTTCGTAATATATTCCACTTGCAAAGAAAAACGACTATGTTTCTCCTTGAGAGAAACTTGAACGAACTTACTGCTATGGAGGAAAAGAAGGTTTAGCGATGGCAACGATATGAAAACACAGATAGAATGCTTTGAAGATAAATTAATGGGGTATGGCGCAAACTCTGAAAAGATGGGGCAGCCACAGCTTATATGACGTTGTGCCACCTCCATTAACCTACTTCTGAAAAGATTTTTAGCGTACAGATTTGTTGAAATTCTGGCCAAAATCTCAAGTTTTTGTAAAAATGGTCAGAGCTGAATTCATATTTTTTCTTTTGCGCAGTAATTGCTGAAAGCACAAGAACTGTAAGCTGAAAATGGAAACATGAGATTTTGGCTGGCTCTCAATTCCATAGTTTGACGGCTATTTGAAGCAGAATTCATGAGGAAGACCGAGAGCAGTGCGTTGCATTGAGTACAAAAAGAGGGAGCTAATTCACTTTCGGGATAAAATTAACCACGTTTGAATATGATTACTTGGAAGGCCCAATATCGGGAATCTTCAGAATTCGCTTAAACTTGGCCCAGAGGGGTATTTGACATGATTATTACGAACTAGTTGGCTTTCCCGGTCAGTCCGGGCCATTGCACCTGCACTGCGACCCCCCCCCCCTCATATGTTATGAATGACCTATGTACCTTGGGACATCCGCTTCAAAACCGCATCCTCGTGATCCTGAGGCGAAAATGAGCTTCACCGCCCTCTTTTACATGATTATTGGAAAATACTTGATTAAACATAATAAGCCTTCTTCTCCTAAGGAGAATGTAAACAAATCAATGAATCGATAGAAAGACCCAACGAATCTCCACAAAGTAGCCTATCATCTGCGCCTGGGTCGAAAACCTATGTGTGCAAAGTTTCAGCTGAGTTGGTTGAACGGTGCGCGTTTCTATAACGCACATAGCCTCCAAACTCACAATTTTGAGTTTATATATATAGATGCGCGGCTAATTATGCTTGTAAAGCCTCTATATCATCCTACGGTAAGCAGAAATGCGCGGGGAGGGGGTGGGGTATAGTCAAAACTTAAGGGGCGGAGTCGTCTCTGTCGGTAGTGTGCCAAACCGATGGCTCGAACCTGCTAACCTTTTCATAGAACATAGCTAACAGAGTGTTTCAAAAAATTGAAGTGCTGCGCTCCACAAATCGTTAGAGGACACATTAATTAGGCCAGTCCAAGTTCGACACGATTCCGGCCTTCGTGCGCCCTACAATGTTTGTTTATGTAGAGCCTCGCTACTTATCGTCCAGGTAAAAATTTCTTACCTACTTTAGAAGAACGTATTTGGGAATGTTATACGTACGATTCTCTCACCTCTTAGACAGAGAATTTTAGAGGTACTGCATTCTACACGCTCTACATGAGAGGAAACGAGAGCCATGCTGACACGGTTGGTTCTTCAACATTACTTTATCCTAAGTGCATATCAAAAGATTTAGGAGCCTTTGAAGGCCAACATGTTTACACTAGCAGTAGGAGAAGAAGCATATTCGTTTGTAGGCACTATAGGAACAAGGTGCTGTTGCATTTGAAACACTGACTAGCACTTTTCATTAGGTTAATCGTTTACAGTTTCGGATCTCGATCGACGACACCTTTTATGAACAACCTTGCACATAATCTGCTAAGAAACTTTTTGACTGTAAAAGGGTTCGCCAACAGCTTGCACCCAGTCATAGAAATAACCAACAATACGGTATGCTGACATAGCTTTGTGATTGCATTAACAAGTGTCAGTCTTCAAAAAGTTGCCTATCATACACTTTGTGGGAAGTCGGTAACCGAATGTAAATCGGTTCCACTTCCGCAGAACAGATATGAAAGTATAAGCTGTATATGACATTTGTCGGGAGTAGATAAGCCCTGAAATCTCGCGACTTATCTGCTCCCTCATAACTCATGCGACCAAGCCATTTTTGTGCTTGCTCGGAGAAGTGCACAGTTCTTCTCTCACCATTAAAGCCGGCATACTGCAATGTTAAAAATATAAGGTTCTCGCTACGCTGCGGCTTCAACTTTGGCGGAAACTATTCTGCTTATCCAAATTTAAAATGAAGGGCTTTGAAAGATGATGGTTTCTGCCATCCTTGCGCTCCATGGATTTTTCGGACCAGTGCATTGAAAAAGCCCAAATAAAAAAAAATTTAGCGATGATTTTCCTAGTCACCGCCTTTGAGGAGAAACGTTTTACCGTTCTTTTCAAAGTCCTTTCTCATTCTTTAATCATTAGATCCTTGACTTTTCATCCCTTACTTTCTTCCTCATAACAGTCCCCAAGAGGAAAATCACGTTGAAGATGTTTGATAACCTTGCAACCTTAAAGGCACCTTCCACCCAGATTCTCTACTTCAGGTTTTTGTCGTTTCGGGGCCTTCTCATGTCCCTGATTCCAAATATGAGGTCGAGAATCCGCGAAAACCCCGACAATCTCCATTGCGAAGAACCCACAGGCTGGTGTTCCAGAACGGTGATTGAATGAGCGCGCACAAATGGGCGGGCATGGATGGGGGTCCTCGTGCTTCTTCGCTATTCCGGAGCGATTTTCTCGCTTCCGAAGCGGCATATTGCGCTGCGACTTGGCATTGGCTTGATAGGAGGCCCTACTGTTATATGCTGCCGAACGCTCTACACCCTCAATTTAGGGTGGACGGTGCCTTTAAAGCTTAAACTTCTTGAACCTCATCTATTTCTCTGCTTATATCACGTACATGACATAAAGCGTAATAACTGCTTTATTGCAAAATCAAGGCGGATGGTCCTTCACTCGGCAAATTCTCAGCCTGAATTTTTCTGCCTGAGCTAATTAGCCGCGCGGATTCCCAAGAATTACCATAGAGAGAACGAAAATTACGAAAAGAAGCAGTTTTCAGAGCAGTTCATTTTGGATTTGGACTAGCCGAACAGTCTCCGCCAGCACGAAGACACAGGCCCGTGGTAAACCCCCATTCATCTCAGGTGACTTGAGATTAGTCATTCAGAAGAACTTCTTTGGGCGAACCTAATCCCGCCCACTTTCCCGTGCTTTAGGATAGTCAGTTCAAAAGTCAGAAGACTGTCCGGTCAAGTGTCACAGTCAGTTCACCAGAATGCCACTTATCCGAGGTTGAATTTTCGGGTGACCCGAGAGAGATAGTGTGCTTAAGAGGAGAATCGTACAAATTTCTTGTAAGTTGCTCGTGAGTAACTTACGGGAAGATGATTCAGTCGACGTATTCTTGCGGTACAAAACTCCCAAAACTGCACGATTTCTGAGGCCTAAATGGAAGAGTATCGATGAACAGCTGATTGCGGCGAGAAATGCAAGAAAGATAGTTCTCTTTTTCTGTACACTTTGCTTAGTTTTTTCTTAAAAATTTGCATTAAAGAAGAATCTATTTATCTATTCCATTCTATTTATGTTCCAAAAATTTCAGTTTTTTGTGGATTTATCGTGAAAATGTGTTAGTTTTGCTTTAATTGTCTATTTGCCAGGCGATATCCTTGATAGCGGTCGCCATCGATTTTTCTCGATAACGGCCGCTATCAAAGATTGTCCTGCGGTGCCACAGAAGTTTGCCATTAAAAACCATTCACTTTTCCGCCGTTCGATCATACCGTTCAAGGGATTCAGTTTCTGAGAACAAGAAGATCTCGGAGTCTCGAAAGCGATCGAATCCAAATCGATAGCTCACCGGATGGCGGACTGAGTCGTTCTACGTTCAACGTAGGCCCGCCCCCAGCCGAGTTGCGCTGAGAGGAGATTTACTACGGGCCACAGAATCGTTGCGAAACCCTCATGGTTATAACATTGCGGCATACCGCCTTCGACGGTGAGGGGAATCACAAGTTCGTGCGAGCGTTCGCAAGAATTTGCACATTCACATCTCTACTTTCTATGATGTTCAGATTTGCCGAGCCACTGCCTTTGATCTCAAACTTCGAGAAAAATTACTTATTGCTGTCATAGCATGTTCATTCGACGTGCATTATATACGTATATCGTTTACTAATTTGCAACGTTTAGTACAAAATCTCTGCAAATTACGTCCTGTTGAGGAGCGGAATTTGTCTACCCAACAAAGACTTACCGAGTATTTATAGAGGTCATGAACTGTCAGCAACGTTATTAGCACATACGCTAAGAAAGTTGATATCTGCAACTGTAGCCCGATTCATTACGCAGTGCATAAAACCATAGTTTTATTGAGATCCGAACTCAAAGCAATATGAATTTCTTTATAGATTGCGAAACTGCAAAGATTGAAAAACATGCGGGAAATCTGCTAGATCAAATTAATCAACGATTCCAAATTTACCTGAAGTAGTTCAATCGCTAATTCAGACTCAAAAATAATAACTGAATTTTCACCAAATCTTCAATACTGCTTTGACTCCTCGACAATGCATATTTGAGGCTATAGTTTTCAGAGAACCAACAGCATATCAGAAATTATCATTGGAAGAAACCTCTAAATATCAATTTTCACCCATTAACATAAGCAAGTAAGGGGATTAGCAATGGGACAACGTCTAGCGCCAACGCTTGCCATTGCTTTCATATCTAAGATAGAAGCACCAGTGGTAGAGCGCAAGCCGTTGCTGTACTACCGTTATATAGACTACTGCTGCATAGTTTGCTCTTCTCAGACAGAGGTGGACATATGTTTCCGAACGCTTAACGAGCAGTTCTCCAGCATCAAGTTCACCAGGGAAAACCCCACGAAGACTAGCTTGCGTTTCTTAATGTTCGAATTCATCTAGCGGGTCGGGAGTACAAAACTAGGTGGTACCGCAAAGCCAGTTGCAAAAATATCGTGTGCATCATTTTTCTACTCACCCACGCAAAACCAAAGGTTCTGTTATTACAAATATGTTTGGAACAGCAGCTCGAGTCTCACCTCGAAGCCAGGAGCGTGCCGTCTTCTTGAGCATGGCTTCCCAGATCGCCAAATCAAATGGCTACTCCAGTAACTGCTCTGCCCGACAACGCGGCTCTTACAACGCGGCTAATCCAGCTTCCGTAGCGGATAAGATCCCCTTTTGCTTGCCGTTTGTTTTGGATGAACTTAGCAGGGCAGTGCGGCAATGCGTTCAATGCGCGGCCGTTTGCAAAGGCCGTTAGAGTGGTCGGTATACCACTTCCCAGACTTAAAACGCCGACTTGTTCGCAACCGTATATATGACCGCATTTGTTTGACTCCAGTGGCCGTATTCATCAACGAAAACCCAGTGGGTTCCGGAACCCAGTTTAGTGCTTTTGATGAATATCGATGTAGAATCGATATTCATCAAAACCACTAAATGGGTTTCGGAACCCACTGTGTTGTTCGTTGATGAATACGGCCACAGGTTGTGAAATATGCCCATGCAGCAGAGAGGGTGATTGTATGGTGTCAGGAGTGATTACCGTATCACATGCTTATTGTGTGGAAATACCTACATCGGAGAGACCGAGCGCCCTCTTTGTCTTCGCATCAAAGAACATCTAGATGGGCTAAATAAGTCAAGACCCTCCACACCACTGGGGCAACATCGAATAAGCCGTCATGAAAATGCTAAAGTCCGGAAGTAGAGTGAAGATCTTATCGTTTGAGCCCGAACTCCTGGCACGCAAAAGATAGAAGCATTTTGGATTGCTGCGAGAAATCCTAAAATGAACAAAAAAGACGAGTGCCTTGCAATCACCAACGAACTCGCGCCTCATCAGGCTCTATGTGGTTTTGACTAAGGTCAGGTCACTCAGCCGTATAAATAGAGGTTGGAGGCACAGTTTTGCATAAGGTGGGCCTGTTTTCCAGCTACCTGTTGTGCTGCGTCAAGGTGAGTATGTGTTCTTGTGGCTCTGATAATGTCTTTGACTAATCTCCTCGAGTTTGTTTTGTTCCTGGCACTTGACGTCTGAATGGATAGACACTTATGACTTCGTCTTCTTAGGCTCCGAAGAAGGCGTAGATCGCCGAAACGTCGACGTCAGCAAATAAAGTTGTTATACCAGTCTTAGTCGAGCTCAGCAATTATACCAAAAAAATCGTGACAATCGATTTTACCCTAATTCTGCATTCATTTTTCTTTCCGAAAACCGATCATATCTCGGCGTGCAAGGCGCTTGGCAGATTTGACAGGTAAATTTGGGAACAAAGTGCAATACTCTCAAGAGCAGTATGGGTATCATATAAAAAGACCACTTCGACTAAACACGCTTCCCTTGTAAGTCGCGGCAAGTGTCTGGATAGATACGTTCCCTCATTATGTTCCATTGAATAAGCTTCATGTTACTTTTTCTTTAGGTTTTAATTCAAATACAATCCTGCAAAAGTATGCTTTAATGCATGTATTTCAGGTGAGCAAAGTGTACTCGGGAGTTCCGGGTTATCCAACAGTGAGCCCTGGAATCCCGCGACTTATCTATTCCCTCATAATGACTACGTTCTTCAACTACACGCTTGAAGAAGCTGTAGGGTATCCTTTGATGTATCCACAACCGACATCTGATGTAATGTCGCGATATTATTACCCTTTTGTAAGTGTGTTTGTCCAATTCGTGTAATTTTCAAACTTCGTAACGCTTCTGGTAGACTGACAGGACGGGAGTAAATCGCAAGAATCCCGAAAGTTTGAGATTGACCATTACGAGGGCAGGACAAGATGATACTGCCGAAATGCACAAGAAAATGCAAAAAAGTATGCAAAAAAGAACAACAGTGTTGTTCATACCTTAGATACGTAGAGCCATGCACTCTGGTGACTTCACAATGAGCGACGTAGAAGAACACAACCTTCACCTGAACAAAATGAGAACTGCTAAGGGGCGAAGTCCGCGTCATAAACACAGCTGTATCGAAATGAATGTGAATGAAACTAGTACAGTGGTAATATCTCAAACATGTCAAAGCAAAGCGAAATATTGCATTTTATAGCCTTTTTTGTTCTACAAAGGTTTTCGTGAAAATTTTTCCAGAATTCAGGACTACATTTTTTACTTGACCTCTTTTCAAACCACGATTGAGTGTCAGAACTTCAAGAGTTGTTGAAGTTTAGTAAAAACGTGAAACATCGCTCAAATCTCGCGCAGAGACTCGCGCACGACAATGGTGGCTTATCTCGTTAATGAGTGGTTTTCAACGCTTGCAATGTTGTCAGTGTTCCTCGTCTGTCATAACGATCAGAATGTTATATAACGTTTCGGGGTTTCTTAAAGACTCCGCAGAGATTTACGATCAGAACCAAATGCCCTTCAACTCTGGTCTTTCTCCTCTGCTCGTCTGCGTTTCCGGCGTTGCGCGTTACCTCGCTATCCCAAATGCGGGACGCGGGACAATTGGCTTTGATACCCCTTTCTTCGTTGTTCTAAACCCAATCTTAGCAAACTTTGTATCAAATTGAAACACTTGATCTCTACCTTCACGTTGACAACGTCCCAAAACTCCATTTTTTGATTTGAATGAGAAATCTGGCAAAAACCGTGTTTTCGAATATCTCTCAATGTTCTTTAGTTCAACTCTTTCCACCCGGTTTTTTTCGTGCATTTGATAGACTTATACTGTCTAAAATGAAAACAACGTCCCAAAGTTTACTTCTTCAATCATGGCCGATTCCTTTGTAAAATCGTGAAAAATGCGTTTTTCTTTACCTTGTTCTCTTTCATTTTTTTTGCAGCGACTTTTCCCAGTTCGAGCGTTGGTCAGAATAATGTGCGCAACAATCCGGACAAAGTTTCAGGAAATGGGAACGTTAATGCGGGGTAAAAATTCAGAAAGCGCAGGCTTTGACGTGAATTCCAGCTTAATAAAAATCAAACTTGCGTTTTCATAAATAATTCTTTTATTTACTGTTTATCTAGTCCTTGATAATCAACACTTACGGAACTTGGTCATATTTGAAACTAGCACAAAGAAGATATCAGATTTTCCTCGTTGTTCCCGACTGTGGCTTGCTCTTTTCTGGAGCAAACTTGCACTTCGAAATGACTCCAAATACAGGGTGTCCCAAAAAATGTATCGAACGTTTGACGTTAATATCTCTCTTCCCAAGAAGCCTTTTGCCTTGCTTCAGGTACCAATCTGTAGAGCTGGCTTTAACTTAGATTAGCATTATAGAACGAATCACTCATCTCTCTTCATTACTGTAGAATTACGGTAGAAACTTCAAAGAGGATTTTAAGCAATGAAAAGTTATATTTTGCCCCAGAAAGGGAACAAAACAGTCTGAAAACTCTTACCTTAGGCTAATTAGAGTTGCTGATTATAAATATAAAGTTCCCAATTTATTATGATGCTTCATTGAAGAGTTATGCCAGGTAAGAGGTAGCGGCCTTTTTTCAATGTTCTTAAAAAGTGCGGTTACACCGCTTAAAAAGCTTCGTAATCTTGTGAATAGTTGAGTATTGAACTCAGCGTCCATAAAAACCCCAATACACAAGTTTTCACATTTTTTTTGAAAAAATTTTGAAACGGCTTTTTCCATATTGACACCATATGTTTCAAGTTTCTACCGAAATCCTACAGTAATGAAGAGAGATGGGTGATTCGTTCTATAATGCGAATCTAAGTTGAAGCCAGCTCTACAAAACGGTACCTGAAGCAAGGCAAAAGACTTCTTGGGAAGAGAGATATTAACGATCAAACGTTCGATACATTTTTTTGGGACACCCTATAGATTACAAACTCACAGCGGCATTTCTTTTCTGTTTTTTAGAAGTTTTTTTTGTTTTTTATCTGTACTGCATTGATTCTTCTCTGATTTTCCACACAACCTTCACTTTTTAGAGGGGCAGTTATTCAAACAGCCTTCACTTTTGACGCCCTGTCTCGAGACTAATCAAAGGTATGAACAATGCGTGAAACACATTTGCAAAGGTGGAAGTAACTCGACATAACACTGATGAACTGCATCCGTGCAAAACTAAGGACCATGTGCATGAACAGCCCTGCGGCGAAAGGGCGGCGTCCTCCGTTGTGAAGGGGTGGCAAGCTGTTGGGGAGTGATGTGTATATACGTATATTTGCTTTGTATCGTTTATCCTCGTTTTGCTGTGTTTCCATTTCTAGTATCGTGTCATGTCAAATTAAACTATTTCTCATGACTTTCCCGCTTGCTCTCATGAAGCCTTTCTAGGTGGATGGTACCAAGTGGTACGTGTGTATATATAGGTACCGTAACCATTTGATAATTCATTCATCACTATTCCGATCAGCTAATAAACTACCGAGACGATCAGACTACAGGACTAGCGTGGATTTGACGAAAATTGTTGAATCGAATGAATCGGACAAGGACTTCTTCGTGGAAGGATGGCGACCACTTTGCGCACTTCACCGGAGGAATTGTTCGCTCAGCTGATGCAGCAGAACGCTGTATTCATGAGAGCGAACCAGAAGCTTTTGAAACGTCTGGAACATCCTGCTGCTCCTGCGGCATTAGCCGGTTACTCAGCACTTTCGGGAAGACTGACGTTCTTCAGCTACGATCCTGAAAACGGATGCGTCTTTGAAAAATGGTTATCCAGATTCAAGGGCATAGTACCATCAACATCGATGCCCGAAAAGACCGATGCACCCTGATGTCTACCTAGACAACGCCGCTCATGCTAAGCTGAGAGGACACCTTGCACCAAGATCTCCACTAGAGCTCTCGTTCGAAGAACTAACGAAAGTGCTAACATAACTTTTCGGCGAAAGGAAAACGCTGTTTCGACGCCGATGGAACTGTTTCCACGTCGTGAAAGATCCCTCAGAGGAAATTGAGTCGTACGCTGCACGGCTCAGTAAGATGCTAGTCGATGCCAAAGCGGACGAAATGAAAGGAGATCTATTGGAATGTCTTTTTTTCGAAGTAACTCAAAAGTTTTCCTTTCTTTAAACCTTAACGGAAACGTTAAGGGCCGGGCTTACTACGCGATTTCAGTCGCGACGCGATTTGGCAATTCGCCAGAAGTCTTAAGATCCAACAGTAGCAAACTGCACATGCATGGTATGTATATCTTACGTGGATTGACAAAATGTCATATCTTCTGTACATTTGAAATGTGCTTACAGTGTGTTATGGACAGTGGGAATATTGCCAAATCGCGTCGCGACTGAAATGGCGTGAAGTATGCCCGGCCCTTTAGGCAGCACAGTACAGTGTTGCTATAAAAACCTGTTGTGGCAAAGAAGAAACTGAGCAATGTCTTTTTTCGTCATGCAATTGCAATCGACCATGCGACTCGCCACTAGTGCCAAACTACTGAGCAAGCTGGACTTCGAGGCGATACATACAAGCTGCAGCACTTGATCGCCGACTACAACGCATATCAGTCTCTGCCGAAGGATGCGTCATTGGTTCCGTATCGCCTGCGTCTGTTCAAGCTGAAATCGTCGCTCCCGTCCGGAAGAAGAAGCAACGCCGACCACAGCCGCAACGTGCCGGACGCTCATCCGATAGCGAGGACACGCCTGCACGTTCTCGCCGTGGTGACATGTGCTATAACTGTGGAAATAAAAGGCACTGAGCCAACAATTGCCCGTCAAGGAACCGATCAGTCCGCCGTTCCCTGAAAAAAAAGTTGTAAAGCTAAACATGTTAATTCCAGCGTCGCTATGTAAACGTCAAGCTGAAGGACTTAACTGTGAAAATGCAACTCGACACCAGTGCCGACGTCGACAATCAGCCGCAGGACGTGGATGGAACTAGGATCGCCGACCTTGAAGGCCCCGCCTGCGCAATTGAGAGCTGCAAATGTATCGCTGATCGTGTTTGGAGTTCACGAGATGCCGTTCACATGCAATGGATTCAATGGCAATGGATTATTTTATGTCATTAAGGACCCATGTTTGCTGGGAATGGATATGCTTCAGCAGCTGCCGCCCTTTCAAAACGCTTTCTCCGCCGTTTGCTGTGTCGTAGATTCCTCTTCGGCACTGGACGGATGCCTCGCAGCTGAGTTTCCGAATGTCTTCAGGGATGAGTTGGGACACGTCAACAAATTCAAAGCTCACCTTGTGCTGAGGAAGGACGCCACACCCGTCTGTGTGCCGGACCTATCGTCAACGCAGAAATAAATTGCCTCGTCGCCACTGGAGTACTATCACCAGTCAGAGTGAGCCGCCCTCATCGTTTCAGTCAAGAAGAGGAATGGAGCAGTGCGTATCTGTGTTGACTAATCTACCGGACTGAACGAGGCGTTGGGGTTGCACAGACAAATCGTGAGAAGTGCCACTTTGCTTAGCCCAGCATTATATCTCTCGGATTCAACGCCAAAGGAAGACGCCCCAAGAGAGGATTGCTGCCATCCTCATATGCCGCCGCCCCAAGATGTGAAGCAGCTCATATCGTATCTTAGGTGGTTTCGTTTTACTCGTCTTTTGGTTGAAAGACGCACCGTTTATCTTAAGTAAGGAGTGCCAGGAAGTTTTCGACCGCCTTCGCGAAGTCCTGACCTCGGATCTTCTGCTGTGCCATTACGATTCGAAGAAGCCGATCATTGTTGCACGCAAGCAACTACGGAATCGGAGCCGTGATTTTCAACCGCTACCTGGATGACTCGGAGAAGGCCGTGTGCCACGCAAGCCGTGCCCTGACTGCCACAGAGAAGAACTACTTGCAGATGAGAAGGAGGGACTGGCCCTAGTTTTTGCCGTCAAGAAGTTCCACCGTTACATTTATGGACGAAGATTTACTCTGCTGACGGACCACTGCCTTCTAATTACTATTTTTTAAAGCAAGAAAGGAGTGCTTGCTCACACTGCTAATCGTCTACAACGATGGTCGATGACGCTACTCGCCTACGATTTCGACACTAAGTACTGCTCTACGACATCGTTTGGACAAGCCGATGATCTCTCCCGTCTGCTTTCCTGCCGGACGCCGGACGAAGACGTCATCATCTTTACAGTAGGAGCTGATGTTACCGCCACTTACGAAGAAAAACTTGACCAGCTGCCAGTTACCATGGAAGACGTACGCGCTGCCATGAAAAAGGACGCCGTGTTGGAGTTGCTCAACTGCCTCCAGATAGACATTGACCAAAAGCGCTTTCCAGAACGCCGTTGTTCACCACAGGAGCCAGCAAAAAGAATTCTCCACCTTAGATGTAATTTCTTTGAAACAGGATCGTCGTAAATCCCACTGAGGAAGAAGATTTTGCGATGCCACACGATGGACACCCTGGACAAACCCGGATGAAGCTGCTTACCCGCAACTACGTCTATTGACCATGTATTGAAGAAGACGTTAATAAATCTGTGGAATGCTGCCAAAATTGTCAACTTGCCGCTAAGAATCCCGTGAAAGCTGAACTGACTCCGTGGCCGATTGCAACTTGCCCATGGAACGTTTGCATATTGACTTTGCTGGACCGCTCTACTCTACGGACACATGTACCTTGTCGTCGTAGGTGCGTACTCCCGCTGGCCCGAAATCGTAGAAATGCAAACGGCAACGTCACCAGCTACCACGCAGGAACTTCTGAATTTTAGCAGATTTGGATTTCCAGAAACGCTCATTTCGGACAACGGCACACAATTCTTTTATCAGTTCTTCGAGGGATTTCTGCAGGAAATACAGGATCAAGCACATTCGGACTCGGCCATTGACCCGCAGTCGAATGGACCTGCTGAACGCTTTGTCGGAATTTCGAAGAGAGCACTTTGACTGGAAGCGCTGTTAAAGCTACTGCTATGTTACCGCTGTACGCCCTAACCGTCTCGCCTGAAAATCTTCCGCATGCAGAGATGTTTTTGCGACGAAGTTTGAATACACTACTCTCGCGTTTGGTCAGTGGTCAGAACTGCCACACCAAGCTACCCTTCCGGATCGAAACGCGCGATGGAAGCTCAGTACAATCGTCACCATGAAGCCAAGAACATTCGAACGATGCCGTCTACGCTCGCGACTATCGCAATCCACCGAAACCTACTTAGACTCCAGGACATGTACGATCAAGGTTTGGACGCTCATTTTACAACCTCGAAATTGAAGGATTTGTATGGGGACGACATGCCGACCAGCTGCGCCCTCGTGCTGTTCACGATGCCAACACGCTGTTGGACGAATTCGACCTAGACTTCGACCTTCCCAGAACGTCGACTTCCGCCGTGACGTAGATATTCCCGCATCCGCTGCCCAGGAAGCTGATACACCGAGGAGACGCCGACAACCCTTGATGTCGAGCGTAGGGACGCGGACGCAGAGGACGACTTCACCACTCCACGCGCTCGACGTCACTCGCAGAGGACCCAGCAACCACCACACCGCCTCAAAGTGGATCCGTCGAAAACACAATACAATTAGAAACTTAAGGGGGAGATGTTGGGGAGTGATGGGTACATATGTAGTATTTGCTTTGTATCGTTTATCCTCGTTTTTGTTGTGTTTCGATTTCTAGTATTTATGTCAGATTCAAACTCTTTGCCATGAGTTTTCCGCCTGTTCTCATAAAGCCTTTCTAGCTGCCTGGTACCGAGTGGTACGTCTTCACAGTTGGGTGTATATATAGGTACCGCAACCATTTGATAATTCATTCACTATTCCGATCAGCTAATAAACTATTGTGTTTTCCAATGTGTCCGTTTCGAGCCCAATAAGACAAAGCCTACAACACAAGCAAACGTCGCTCAGTCCTTTTTATCAGTGGGACGCGGCTCCCGTCGTCGCAGAGATGTTCATGCGTACATGTCTAAGCCACTATGATACAACAACTGCCGAAGTTGGTAGATTCTTGTAATTGTACAATCAGCGAGTTCCCTGATTGGAGTGAATAAGTCGAAAAAGGAAGGGAAGGGAAAGGAAGGACGCGCTTTTTCTTTGTTAGATTAGCTAGGGAAGAGCTAGAACAGAGCTAGAGTAAATCTATAGGTATTCACGAACGCGTGCATTTCTGACCGCCAGTCTTTTCGTGATTCTATTGGGTTGGTAACAAACATCTGTTTTTCTGCAGTTACAATTTTCTTTGAAGCTTTTCAGTATAACATGTTTATAGCAATCTCAATTTGCTAAAAGTATACCGGAAGGCAAAAAAATTAAGGATATTCCTATAGGAAGCGATTCAGTGTCAGCAATTTCACGTCGTTATGGTAAGTTCAATGATACATTTAATGCTAGCTTTTGGTCTCCACTTTCTTAATGCTATTCAGACGAAAACGGTTATCTACGTTATATTCCCTTTTATAAAAATGGTAGAGGTGAAAGCTCTTGTGACACAAGAGTTACTGGCATTTAGAAGAAAAAAAATAACCATGATAACACGGAACTCATCTCTCCAGCTATTTCTTAATAAATACATTGCTTTTGTGTATCATGGCGTTATGGAAGCGCAGCAGATGTACTTTATGTAAATCTCGGTTTAGTGTTGTTGTATTTTGCAGTTTCAAGCCTTAATTCAAGAGAACCTTATTAGCTGACGTTACAGCGAATCGTTTTCCCCAAAATTTGAGTGGACGGTACGACTCGACCTATCCGACCAAAGTTTATGCAGCCATGCAAACAAAATTCGAAGAAGAGAAGTCGATGGATCAATAGTTGTCCAACCAAACACTCATGTCTTAAAACGGCACAGAGTTTTGATCCCAGTGCCAACCGTACTGACTGGCGCCTATGTTAAGGCTACTTATACCTTCTCCGCCAGTCAGAATAGGTGATGCAGGCAAAGAATAGGCATATTTTTATTGATTAGGCATTCTTCCTTGCTTTTCACTCTGATGTTTTCGGCGTAAATCCAAAGTGCTTCTTAGTACTTGCTAACAGTGGATTTCCGTTCGGGGAGGGAAGGGCGACAAAAAATTGTTCTTGATGAAGATGCGTGGCATTAGCCACGCACTCCGAAAATTTTGGTATGTTTTCTAGAATCGCGAGCTCATAACCCCGATATTTCAGCAAGAAAGGGGCGTGGCATCAGTCGCGCCCCGAAAAATTTTTTTATAAGGCTGAATTAAATATTTGAAAAATTTTTAAAGCCATTAATTATTTACAAGTTTGAACAAGTCTCTTGCACAATTTTGCAACTCGTGTAGGTGACTTTCAAAATCTTCGCGACTCACTTTTCGGGGTAGGGGATGGCGTTCCCCGCCCTCCCCCCCCCCTTGGTACGCCACTGTTTGATAACCATATTTGTGATTTATGCGCTTCTGCATAGCTATGGAGGCGTTTCCTTGCATACTTTGCAAGTCGTACTGTCCCTTTCAGGGTTTGGAAAAGTCAACTCGCCGAAATGCCAGCTAATAAATATCGTTACCAATTTTTGGCCAAACCTTGGAACTGCAAACTACAATAGGAAGCTCACGGCTAAATTTGAAAAGATGGACTCAAGAAGATCGCCATTGCACGAAAGGACCCATATGGTAGTGGAAGCAATTATATGTCAAAATTTTATGGCTGATCGTGGACGAAATATAATTTGCAGAAAAGATGTTGGCACTTCATTCGCAAAGTCAACACTAATTACTTTCTTATTAGCCTAGCCTAATATAAGTATTGATATAAGATAACGGTAGATCGTTCCATGTTGCAGTTTTACAGCCTACTAGCAGTCATCGAAAATGAATAGTAGTAAGTAGTGCTCACCTTGAACTTAGTTTAATATACTTGCCGTTATGTTTTCAAGAATATACACTCACATTAATCAAAATGTATAGGACCAAGCCGAGCAAAAATTGCTCGGACTTTGTTTCGAAACCGTATACGAACGAGTCTTTTGATCCCACCACAGGCATTTTAGCAAAAATAGGAGTAGGAGTGTAGTACGATAAAACTTTCGGATTTCATCAGGATTGGGCCATAAAATCCCGAAGCGGTAGGCAGTGAAATATGGGAAGCTGGCATGTATGGTATTCTGCATTCTATCACTGCTGATTTAGATTAATCTACTATGGATTCGATTTGGCCTTGAACAAGATTGTTCAGTTGGTTTCCTTTTTCCTAGAGAATTATAGTACAAAAAATAAGGGAAATGAGAGCTCTTTTTGGCGTCTCTCAGGAGTGCCCAAGACATCAGCGGGAATGTTCAGGTTTTTCATTTCCACATGCAGCGCCTCATATCTATTGATGCAGTTTAATCGTGATGCCGTATATAAGTGTGAACGCTGGAAAGAATAGTGCTTTCAAAAAGCGATACGTATTTTTCTGCCAATACATAAGTTCCGCAGCTTGAGGAATCTAAGGCAATGTGAAGCAAAGCCTCACCTTTTGATGGGGGATCTTTATCACTACATAAAATTACGTGCCTGAAGCTCCATTTCTTGAGATGTATGAAAAAATTGCAAATGCTGCCTGCTTGTAACGCTCGTTTTGTCCTTCAGAAATTCCAAGCATGGAAAGATGCAGTCTCTGAATCTGAAGCTGTTTTTCTGGACTAATAAATGATCGTTAACTTCAAATAATTGGATAGTGTTTAGTCCTTACATTCATGTCACGAATTAGTGCATTTTTCAGTTGTTTTAGCACAGGTTAATTTTGAGAATCGAACGTAGTCAGCATGTTTTTGCATAAGTTATGGCCAAAAATGCTTCGTGTTGATAGAGATTGCATGAAGGAAGCAATTTCTGTAAGAGTGCAAATTCCGCAGCCCCTTGTGCCGCACAATATAAATTTGTAATAGTGCGTCATGAGAGAGTCGAATTTATTATCGAAGAGAGCTTATGATGAGATCATTTGCTTTTGATACTGTATAAGCCGTTCCAAGACGAAGGCGGGGCCGGTTCGATATGCGACATGGCTGTGACGCGGCTGTGACGCAGCGGCGTCAAAGCCGCGTCACAGTCTTGGAAGAGCTTATAGATCGAACCGTTCTTGACGTAAGGTCATAAAAAACGGTAGAAAATGACCACCAACTTATATGGACGGCAAGCGCTAAATCATGAATGAATACAGCTGAGAATGCATGCGGTGAATCTAGGTCTATCTACTCATCCAGTATTTAAGCTTTCTAACCGGATTTGAAGGTAGGACACTTGATTGCAGATTGGTTTTCACTCTGCAGCGAACAGCAGTAGAGATTCGTATTGTTACTGAAGTGGCTGGTTTTACCCAAGTGAAGTAATCCAAAGACAAATCACATATCGTCGAGTCATTCGTAACTTAATATGTGTAGTGCACACTTTACACGTTAACTGACAGACAACAAAACTAGAACCTGCTCATTTCCAGTGATTTCTCCTTGTTTTCTTGTTTCTTTTGTTTTAGTTGGTTATACGATAGTTAGTAGAACGCATTTCTACATTTTGTTAGGCTAAAAGATGTTTTACTCGGAAGTTACTAGTGTGCGTGCCGTCGCTAATAGAGCTTAGTGTGCAATCTCACATATTAAGTTACAAATGACTCGAGGTTAAATCAATGCAACAAAAACTCGTAAGAAGATATAAATTCTAAGATAAAAGTCGTCATCTAAAAGTGTCAAGGTATTTTTTTCACATGGCGCTTCTTTGAAGCATTTTCACAAAGAGTTACGTATGGTGTGAAATTTCATTCATTATTTTGTCCGTTATCTTTCGAACAATACAACTACAGTGCTGGCCATAATTATTAGGTTGTAACAGAATTAATGCAGGTTTTTCGCGCACCTTTTTCAAAATGCTGGTTTGGAATGAGAAAGTGTTTTCGCAGAGAGTTCTGCGCATTATTCAGAAGCTCTTTCCTTCTAGTTTCTTATGCATTCTTTCGTTTCAGTGGAAGTGAATTTGTCTAAAAGTTCTGAGCCCATGAATTTGAGAAACCAAATCTCGAAATTCTTTCTTTCAATGTACCTGGCTCTAAAACCACCAAAAATAATCGGAATTCGCTGCAAATTTACATAGTATTTTTGAGTGAGCTATGTCACAAAATGCATGTTGAATCGTGAATTCTGAAAGCATCTGAGCCGAGAAATCTCGGAGCAAAATTTAACGGTCGCTGTGGTCCATCTACCCTATATAAAAATCCTCAGGGCGAAGCAACTGCGGAGCTTCCGCTTTATATAGGAAGAATATACTTTAGACATTTATGTCTGAAAAGATCGGGACCCATTCTCCCTACTCAGCTTCAAAAAAATTCAAAAGTTTCAGAAAATCGATTTTTCAAATCCTCAGAAAAGTCGAAAAAATGATACTTTCAAAAAAAATTTTCAAATATCGTCTAGCAAAGAATTCTTTTTCAATTCCGAATTTAGCGCTGCTGCACACCACCCGACCATGGGCTAAGCAGTGAGTTATATTTGCGCCACCTTACTACATTTGGTGGTAAGTTATGGTTTCCTAAAGTGAAGTTTTTCTAAAAAAAATTCTTGGTGGAATTCGGGCTATAAGATTTTCCTCAATGAAGCTACAACAACACAATAATGCATGCTGAGTTGAAAAAGGTTTGCTGATTACAACAAATCTTGTTGCACACGAAAAGACTATTTGTGTAAAAAGTTATAATGATCCAAACACAAAATTCAGAAAACCTGCATTATTTGTTACAACCCAATATAAAGACATTCTTGGTGCAAAAGTTTTGTCAGTTTTTTCAATCTATTGGCAAACACGCTAGAATGAAGATAAACAAACGCTTCAAAATGTATCCAATGCAGAATTTATTCCCCTTTCCAGCTGTCAAACTATCATTGTGTTCAGTTGCGAGAGTGACGAGATAACTTCGAACCATTTTCAGGCCCCTGAGGAAGACGAAGGCGTCGAAACATTAGGCCGTGAGATTGGAAATAAAGACCACTTGCCAAACCTGTGTGGCACAGAAGTTATTTGAAGTGACGAGATATTTGCTGGAAATTACAACTACTCGTTTTTACCATGCTCAACTTTCACTAATTTTAAAAATTTTTGTATGAGACTTTCGCAGGAACCCTAATAACCAGCACATAGGGCAAACCTTTTGCCAACAAAAGCAATTTTTTATAGCCCTACGGCTTGTCTTTCAGAATTTTTACGATTTATTTTTTGAACTGACCAAATTATACATTCAGCCTATTTTGACCTCGTAGAACATAAAATCTCAAGCACTTCAGTCACCGTCACCGTTCGATGCAGATTCTTCTCCTCTTTCTGAAACTTGTCTTTTTTGCCGAGAGAGGCAGAATTTGTGGGGGGGGGGGGGGAAATCGCAGTTTTTCCCAATTTCAGCAGTGCGCACTGAAGTAACCTATGTCCCAAAATCATCGTAATTTGGAGCAAAAATCGCTCATTTACTTTGTAATGGTAATAATCGTGTAGTAGTAATAATCGTGTGTTGAAACTTCAGTTTTCTATAGGTGCAGGTAGGTATAAGTCCGATGCAGAATTACTTCCTCTTTCCAGCTGCTAAACTCCCGTTGTTAGGAGAATGACGAGATATTTGCCGAAAATTACAAGCACTCGTTTTTACCATGCCCAAATTTCACTGATTTTCCAAATCTTTGTATGAGATTTTCGGAGGAGCCCTAATAACCACCAGATAGGGCAAACCTTTTGCGAACAGAAGCATTTTTTTCTATTTTTCAGCTGCTTTTCAGATTTTTGCTGAATAATTTTTTAAAAGTCTTGTGTTTTGGAAAAATCGCATAACCTGTTATCGCATCAAACGCTGCAAAACCTGCAGAATACTGAGGTTTCAACAGTCGATTATTACTGCCGCTACCATTACAAAGTATATGAGCGATTTTCGCTTCATGAAGATTTTGAAACATAGGTTACGTCAGTGCGCACTTCTGAGATTGAGAAATACTGAGATTTACTCCACAAATCTCGCCTGCGTCGGCGAAAAAAGACAAGTATTAGCAAGAGGAGAAAAATTTGCATCGAATTGTGACTGAAACGTTTAACATTTTATGTTCTATGAGGTTAAAATAGGCTGAATGTAAATATGGTCACTTCAAAAAACAAATCGTGAGAGGCAAGCTGTAGGGCTACAAAAATTGCTTCTGTTGGCAAAAGGTTTGCTCTATGTGCTGGTTATTAGGGTTCCTCCGAAAGTCTCATACAAAAATTTTGAAAATTAGTGAAAGTTGGGCATGGTAAAAACGAGTGGTTGTAATTTCCAGCAAATATCTCGTCATTCTCTCAACGAAACACAATGGTTGTTTAGCAGCTGGAAAGGGAAAGAAATTCTGCATTGGATACATCTTGAAGCGTTTGTTTATCTTCATTCGCCTGTTTGCCAATGGATCGAAGAAACTGACAAAACTTTTGCACCAAGAGTGTCTTTATAATTATGGCCAGCACTGTATAGTACGGAGAGCAGTCACCCTTTGGCTTTCCGGCAAACCGCGTCGACATCAAAATCAATACAATTTAAAAAACTGTTCTGTTATACAGGGAACTGTCTGCATTATCTTGGTTGCAGTTAGATTAAAAATATTTTCGACCGCAATCCCGGTCAGTTGTTGCTCAGACTGACCTGAATTCCATGTTTCATTTTGCATTGAATCCGGCCTGCTCATGTATGAACTTTAGCACTTGCATTCCTAACTGGTTTTACGAAGGAATTTGCAATTCTAGCTGTTTGATAGCATTTGTGCTTTTGAATGAATGAAAAAGAACGCCAAGGTTGACACAGAGTGTGTCATAGTTTACCAACTGTCTCAAGGCTCGTGTTTATCAAACAGTTTAGACACTTTGAAGTGTAAATCACAATGGTAAAAGCTCGAGCTCTCGATGATACCCTATCAAAGTTCTCTCTTTGCATGACGTGCAATGTAAGTCTTGTCTCAAAACTCATTGAGTTTTTCGGTTTTACATCCATCAAAAATGTGAAATGCTCTTTTTACTCAATTGACTTCACATTGTGCAATAGTGTGCAACATGCAGAATCGCTCTTCTTACTATTCCTAATGCACCGTGGCGTTGAATCATTGGTGATAAGAAGCAGTTTTATCGTGAATGGCACGCCTCTTATCGCATATAGCACTCTTGAATAGGGCGTCCTGTTAGCACCATGCAAAGCCTTTTTCTCGATATATTGTTTTACAAACCATTTTTCAGTTAGGACAAGATGATCGGATTCGGCGCACAGATGGGCCCCACCCAGGCCATCTACAACTCGGTATATTTGAGTCTCCGACGATTATTCTAGATATTTAAACCTTATCTATAAACACAAAGAAACATTCATATCTTTGTTTAAGAGAGCTCCAGTTGAGCTTCGCTTTCCTAGCCTCGATCCTGGTCGCCGTGTGCGTATTGTCCTTATACCTCTACCGGGCTGCAGTCGATTTGTCGTAAGTGCCTTAATCGTACATTTTACTATTTTCAACATTGAAAATCGTTCAGGTGAATCTCCGCACATACAACGATATCGCTTATCACTTCAACCCACGATTCGATGTAAGCATTCTATTAACGTTTTCAGTTACATCGCACATCGTTTGGCATCGATAGATGTTTTCCTCTCACGCATTAAGAGGAAGCATACATCTGTGTGAGTCGGTGTGCCTGGCCACAGTATTTTATCTACCTGCTCTCTACAACTAGCATGAACAGGGGCTGAACACGTTGCAGTAGTTTCGTCGAAAACTTCATCACTTTGTTTTCTTCACGAATAAATACAGAGCGTGACCTTTTTTAGTGGGTCTTGCTATAGACCGCGAGAGCCTCTGATAAGCTTACGCTTCCTCGGGGACCTAGCGAGATTAAGATACCTTGTATGTCAGAAGAAAAGTGCTGTTGTGTAAAATACAGCATAAGCACTTAATACTGGATATCGGAAGGGATTCAAAATACTCATACAGCCGTTAGAGGGAAAGTGATTTTACGTTTCAATAGAAGTGATATCTCAACTGGTGCGAGGGTCGTTTCTAGAAAGCAGTTGCACGCAAATTTTCACAATTTCGCACGCAAGTTTCCGTTACTTGAGGTTATCTTTTTTGCTGATTTCGACCACCTTGGGAAAGCCGAAGCGAAAACGGCTTTTACGTTGTTCTTCTTTTTCGGTGAGGGCGGAGCTTTTGCGGAACATTTATAAATTATTTCGGAGCATGAGACTTTGGCTGAGAGAAATATTGGAAACTTGAGTGAGCGTAAGCGAAAATGACTTTTGCGAGCTACCTTGAAGGCATTTTTGTTGGTGTGGAAGTCACGCAGCATGAACAAGCTTACCTCATCTTAACCTAAGGTGCAAGTGGACTGCCCACCGTGAAAAAATTAGAAAAAGTGAAAGACTTCTTAGGACAACGCTGCACTTATTCTGAGGTTCAACATCAAATGTCACTTCCACAATTACTGCCATTTTCGACTTTTCAGAAGTACGATCTCCGAGTCTTTCCGAAATTTTCATAAGTGCTGTAACGAACATTTTTCAAATCGACCATGCAACTGTTTTTATGATAATTAGCCGTAAACTCCTCTGAAAGTTCATTTATAGCTTTCTTTTAGTAACATTTAAGAGTAGGAACGACCCACTCCAGCGATGTAACCCAACGTAACATACATCTCACATCATTAACTTTTTCCTTCATTTAGCACAACGATAGCATTGCTGTGGAGTTAGTTTTCAGGTTGGGGAGTGAGCTTTAGTAGGTCAAATGATTGTAGGGGCTGTTCTAACTAGGGTGGGTCTTCTTAATGACCAGCTACATGGTATAATAAAATTTTGAAGGTGAGCCCTTGCTCTTTTTCGCATGCCTCAAAAACTACTTATTGTAATAAAATTGTTAAACCAAATTCTTATCAAAGTGTTCAGAGCAATACGTTTTAGGAAAACTGTGTCGTTAGCAACTCGACCCAGGGAGGAAACTGGATGAATGAGGAGCGCGCCAACATGCCTTTCCACCCCGACAGAGTGTACACGCTGGAATTTGTACCTAATTACGGCCAGATTCAGGTGATAAGCGTTCTATACGTTACAGGTTTTCAAAAATGGTTTGCAGGTTCTTCTTAACGGTTCACCTTTCACAACGTTCAATGAGCGTCTTCCTAGCAGAGATATTAATCTGGTTGAGATTGACGGTGACATTCATGTTCATTCTGCTCACTATCTTTGAGGAATGTGCACTTTAACGATTACCATGATTTTTTCTGTACTGAATAAAAAGTGGCATACCAATGTCAGTTGAGAGCATTGCAAAAAGGCTACGATTCATGCAAAATTCTGAGAATGAATTTGCAAACTTAAGCCTTTGAAAAATTAATAAGTGTAGTGAATATCACCTCTTTTTAACCTGCGCGCATTATGACTCAAATTCAGAATAAGTCTGTTACATATACAGCATAAAGTATAATATCTTGGTAACAAGAGCGGTCTCTAATCTGTTGTTTCTGTTGATGAAAGAAAGTTACTTTCGCACATTGAAATAAGCAAATCAAAGCCTACATCAAATAAAGTAGTCGTGCCAAATTAGAACCCGTTTTAGAAATTTCTATTTTACCTGTAAAGGGAAATCATCTTGAGCTGTAAGGAGAATATTTCAGCGAAGTGAGCGGTACTTGGTACTAGCTACTTGGTATACGTTACCATATTCGGATTATTAACGTAAAGAGAATTTATTGCCATCTAGCCAGAAGTTCTAGGATAGCATTCCTACTATACTTTCAACTGTTGCTTCTTCTTTTTCGATGAACAATGCTGCGGTCTGGTCATATTGTTTCAACCTGCGCAATTTCCCTACAAAATACTCCACGAAGGAAAAATACTGAGCCATATTAGCTCGACGATAACAAAATTGGAATTTACGCTGCGTGCGTTCATATTTCTAACACTAAGTCCGGTCGTGAATCCCAAAAATAGAAGTATAATGCTTACTCAAAAATATTTAGTAATCAATTCATTTTCATCCTATAATACATCCCTATAATTCAGGAGCAATAACTTAGTCAAACAGCTTACATGTCCCCCAATTTCGCTTTTTTTTGGAATGAAGCCGGAAGCCAGAATAGGAAAGTCTTGTTTTTGCCTCTTCATCCGTGAAATTACGAAAACTCTGAAATTGAACCAAAGCGACTTGTTTGAGATTGCGAGCACGTGCTTTGAAAATATAACATATGGAACAAAGTGCACCCAATAAACAACAAATTTCTCAGTTTGAAAATGTGCTGGAACTTGTACTGATTATGCATCGATGCATACATGATTGATTTGACAATGCAGAGCGCACAGGGAACAATACAGGGTGTCCCAAAAGCAGGTACACCTTTTTGATTGTTAATAACTCTTATCATTATACAAAACCTTTGCTTAGCTTCAAGCACCATTCTGTAGAGCAGGCTTCAGCTTAGACTTATAGCATGGCGCGAACATCGCTCATCATCAGAGTTGAGCAAGGGGCCAGGCACAAGCCCTTCGAAAACGACCCCCCCCTATGAAAGCCCCTAAAAGACCCCTCCGCTTCATATTAAGGAGCTCGGGGTGTTATAACTTGAAGAAGACCAGCCTTCACAGCAGGTTTCTATTTTTTGAAGTCTGTAGGCCCGACTTTCTGCGATTGCACACCACACGCAAGTCGACGGCAAGTTTTTGGATCTGGATAGCACTCCAGAGCTATAATTTTCACAGAGGTGGATTGTTTGGCTTCAAATTTTCAATATACCAAGAAGAGGATTTGCGCTTAATACTCATTCCATAAAAAGGGGCGATTTTTGAGCAGTGAAGGCAAGTTAATGGGGTCAGGCGCAACCCCTCAAAAGCTCAGGCGGCCTGACCTTTTGAAGGGTTGCGCCTGACCCCATTAACTTTATTTCCGAAGAAGCTTTTCTACGCAAGTTTTGAATGATTCGCTAGCTCGACCCTCGAAGATTCCATAGTAAGTGTTTGAGCTTGGCTCGACTTATTTCGGCGTTGTGCTAATCCAAGGAGTTGAAGCTCTCAATGTGAAAAACGTGCTGGTTGGAATTTTGGCAGCACTTCTTACTTCACCGTTTGAAAGCGAAATGAAGCTTGATTTGCAGCATAGACTTGTACTGAACATTACTTTGTTATGAATATAGAAAAGCTTACATCTTTCGTTTTTGAAACCAAGTTAATCATATTTGAAAATCACGTTTTTTGGACGTTGAGAAACACTAGAAACTGCAGTAGGTAATGGTTTGTAGAGCGCATAGAGGTAATTTGACATGCTGATTACGGAAATGATACCATTGCATACAGCAAACTTCCTTGTCGACCTCATGATATGCCAAGGTAAAAGGTGAAAATTGAATTTCGGCTGAAATTTTGACTGTGTAAACAATCAGTGTGCTATCGACCGTCTTTACGACCGTCATTCCTTCAGTACTGGCGACTGCTATATCCACCGGACTAGCGCATTTCTTCACCGTCGTAGTATCTCCCTAACTGAACAAACTCGGTTCTTAATTACGACACCCCCCCCCCCCCCCTCAGTCTTATCCTCAATACGACCCCAGCTCGGGCGCGCCTAACCCCACGCTCGACCCTGCTCATCATTATTGTAGATTATGGTAGGAACTTTCATCATGCAGCGCCTTTGTGAATAGGCAGTATGAGAGAAAAGTTCCAGAAAATCTGGAGAGCTGTGTAACCGTGTTTTCGGACATACTGATTTCATTACACATTTTCACGAATTTTGACCGTTTGAAACGGTTCAATCACATTTGAGAAACGCTGAAAAAACGTTGTTATGCTCTGCTTGGCATAACTTATGAAAGAAAAAACTAACGGTGAAGTTCGAAATCCATTTCCGTAATCAGCGACTCAGTTTAGCCTGAAGATGAAGCTTTCGATTTGTCGAGTTTGTCTTTTCTGGGACAATATGTAACCATTGATGGCTCAAAACCGTCTTCAAAATTCCTACAGTAATCCTACAGCAATGAAGAGCAGTGGGTTCGCTGCACACTGTGAATCTAAGATAAGGCCTAAATTACTGAATGGTACTTCGTAGAGCTGAGCAAATGACCTTTGTGGTAAGAGGCTATTGGCAATTAATAAGTGTGTCCTCACTTTTGGATCACCCTGTATCGTGCCCATTGGAAATTAGGAATGCTAGAACTGCATGTGCAAAAATCTTTCTCATAGAGTGAAGCTTGGATTTTAGTTTTGCTAATTTCGAAACTGGGCAAGCTGCAAACTAAGAGGCAATAAAGCAAAATCAAAGTTCTGCTTGATATGCATAAGACTTTATAATTGCTATCGTTAAAATTGCCAAGATTACTTCTCAGATGGGTTAACAGAGAAGCCGACCCGACATGATTACTTACAGCGTACGGCAAGGTTGGAAGCTCCACGGTATTTAGACTTAGAAAGTACCAACCTCTCTTTTACACCTCAAATTAACTGCTTGTTCTTTGCAAAACAGTGGATCTGTAGGGCCGTCAAATTCGGATCATCGTATTCTCACTTGCGGCACAGTAACAAGGATGAAAACTTGTTTGTTTGTTTTCTCTTTGTTCAAATTTCACCTGAAACTCTAAACTCTCCTGCTGCTCTCCGGTCACTAATAGGTTGCTTCTGAGCTGGGCTGTTCTTGAGCCACCAATTGTTTTCGCGGTCCTCCATGCACCTTAAGGGCAGATGCTCGGCAGAATTTCGTTTTCCAGTTCTTCACCTTTTCGGAGCCTTCTCGCCATGAGGAACCCACATCTGGGCTTTTCAACGCATGAAATTGGCAAAAATGCGCTTTTTCGAAGCTTTCCAGGCCAGCCTCTAGTGAAGAAGTGTGCGGGCCCTGGAACGAAAAGGGCGGGGCGCGGCTTTTTCGTATCTTCACTGAATTCGGACCTAAAAAGCTTCGAAAAAAGCGCATTTGTGCCAGTATCATGCGCTGAAAAGCCCAAATATGGGTTTCTCATGGCGAGAAGGCTCCGAAAAGGTGAGAACCTGAAAAACGAAATTCTGCCGAGCCGCTGCCTTCAACGAATGTCATTCTCAGATCTAGTTTCGAATTTCCAATACGTCACTCATATGTTGGATTGGCCTGTGTTGAGAGTGACAGTGTCGCTTCACAAAATTTTGTTGTGCTTATGTACCAGTCGCTTGGCATAAATTTGAGTTCTCAAAAGGTCAAAGAAGTTGGCTTGCTTACCTCAAGTCGGTCCGTAACCTCGTGCCGCTTTCTGGACTTATCACAAAAACGCGTGAACAAAGACAGGCAAACATTCATCATTCAAATTAACTTTTTTTCCTTCTCTGCTTCATGTTTTCAAACTAGTCGCCCTTGTACAGTCACAAAGAAAATCACTCGCCAACATCTTAAGTCCAACTAGCATTTTCTCAATAATTTCTCTCTAGATTTCTGAACGCGTTCTACTTGGTCAACCTATCTTACACCAAAAGACGAGCAATTTGGTGCCATTATTCGTCAAGACTGCGGGGATAAAATCACCTATTCTGTTTCTGGCACCGCCCAGGCCGTACTTGGAAATCGGAAATTGCTATTGGTAACGCTCATTTGCTTTCTAGCATTAGTGTTGAATGATGTTGATCCTTGACCTTAGAAATTTGAGGCCGAAAGTGGATTGGTATTAGACTCATTTATGAATGAAACAACCTTAAGAAAGACTTTTTTTTCAAAATTTTTTGAAAACTACTGAAAGCCAGATGCCGAAAAATGCATTTTGTTTTCCCGATCTTACTGCTATCTCTTTTGAATGACTGAGACGAAAAATGAAAAATTGCTAAAGTTGGACACGATGTAAACCCTGGGTTCGTAATTTGGCGATTATTTTAGTCAATACAAAAGCAACCGATTCAAGAACCTGGATGCTGAATGGATGAAGAAAAGCGCGCCGAATACTTTTTCAATCTTACCTTAATTCCACATGTTTCTATGGTCCTTTTTATAGGTCCGAAAAGCGGCACAAACCTTTGGACCGTCCCCGTATTTCTTTGGCTTGCCGAGATTGTTGCCTGCTCAATCTGTTGCCCTGCATTTTTTGTCATCAGAGACGCTTTTGCTTATCAGCTAGGAAAAAATCACCTCAGAAAGCGCGAATCGGGTTGACGTCATGGCTTCGCACTTGTATTTAGCCATGGCTCTAGCCCGTAGCTCACATAGCCCAATCCTGCGCTGAATGCACGGGCATTGTCTCGAAGAGAATTTCTTGTAGTGGTCAGTACTGCTTCTCCGGCTTGAGGCATACCTCCTTGGCGATCTG